CTACTTCAAAGATAAGGAGGCGTTTCTGTTGAGTTTTGAAGGACGGGTAAAGTTTGACCAGCAGAGGTAAGAAAAGGGTATGCAGGCTATATAGGCAAAAGCAGAAGTACAAGCAAAGGAATAACAGGAAAGGATAGAGAACAGTTTAGGGATCAACATGAGATAAGAGGTATATAATACTACAAAAGTAGTTTGGAACTAGATTAAGAGTCTTGTATGCCATGCTGGGAAATGTAATCTAAAATTTATAAGTAATGGGCTTTTGAGCAATGGTAAGCATTTGTTCTCATGAGAAGAAATAGGAACTGAAAGCAGGGTAATAATAGTTAAAAGGGAAAGGAGACATATGTGAGAAGATTTAAAGTGATAGAATCAACTGGATGTGGCAGTTAATTATTGGAGGGGTATGTTGGGGGCCTTGGTTTAAATGCAAGGAAGAAAAGGTGTTAGATGAATGAATAAAATAGAAATAAAACAAAAGAGAAGTGAAATAAGCAAGAGACTGCTTGGGAGAGGGTTTCAAAGGAGTGATCAACAGTCAAATACAGTACTGTGGAGATGTCAAAAAGATGTGTCTGGAAATAGATTTAGGAATGGTAAATCATACCACTTATTCTCTTCGCATACTTTTTTGAACCTCTCACTCTACTAAAAAAAAAAGTTCTTTTCAAAGTCAACATCCTAGGGGGGGAAAAAAAAAACAGTACAAAAACTAAATGTCAGGTGGTTGAGATGGGATTGGGTGGTGGTAAATCTGTGTGAAATACTATCCTGAAGCCTTTTGTGAATGGAAAGAAGATTGGTAGGAGATTGGAGAAGCAGTTAGTTGAGAAAAAAATGACAAACACAGGTGGGTCAAAAGATCATTTTCTTGTAAGAAATTCACTCTACGCACCCTATTCCTAAAGAGTTAAATTTAGGATTTCAGGTAATGTGGGCTTTGAAGTACTCTAGGCCAGGGGTCCCCAACCCCTGGGCCATAGACCAGTCTGTGGCCTGTTAGGAATCTGGCCACAGAGCAGGAAGTGAGCAGCAGGTGAGAGAGCAAAGCTTTATCTGTATTTGCGGCCGCTCCCCAGCACTAGCTAGCTAGCATCACCACCTCAGCTCCACCTCAGATCATCAGGCATTAGATTCTCATAGGAGCACCAGTCAGTGGTGCCAAAAGCATTGGAGATTGCTGCTCTAGGCTATTCATTTTCAAATTATGTATGACAAACACAAGACTCAATTTTCATTTTCTAAAATACGTTTAACTATCTTAACTAGAATAAAAAAATTATAGTAGCTTTCTGTATGCCAGATATCTTAAATATTTTATCTCATTTAATCCCAGCAACCTTATAAGGCAAGTTTACTATCATGCCCATGTTACATAGGAGAAAACTGAGACTTAGAGAAGTAAAATAACTCGCCTAAGATCTTAAAAATAGTTAAGTGACAGAGCCCAACTTCTTAATATGCTCTACTGACTTTTGACAATGTACAGAAGCAACTGTTTTCTCTGTCAAACTGTAGCCCATTGAAGACCACCCAATTATTAACTTAAACTGCTTGATTCATTCATTTTCTTACATCCTTTGGGAATAATGCTTCTGCCATCCCTTTGAATATGTTTCAAGTTCTTGTAAATGTGTCATGGGTTATGAAGGTTGTAGCTCTACAAAGGACTTTCAAAAAATTCATGCCTGTACATGTGACTCAAGGAAGATTGTACAAGCAAAGACCTGCACCACTTGAACCCCTGGGCTGTGCTCAATCAGCATGCAAAGCTCAGTCCCATCTGTGTGGTGAAAGTAGAACAGTTAGTTGCGCAATAACAAAAACGCGTACCTAGTCTTATTATGACAATGCTGCTTTTAGATGTGCTTACTTTACATTTTGGCTTCTTCATGTCTGATTTTCATAGTTAAGACATATGAATAGTGATTAAACTTTGAAACCAAATGTTCTCTTAGTTTTCTTCCAGGTTTCTCGATTAATTTCACTGAAAAATATAGAGATCGCAAGACAAGCTGTTAAGAAACATCTATCATTTGCAATTATTTATCTGTGTGAATAAGGCTTTTCTGGGTACTTTGCAACCAAAATAATACCATACAGAAATAAACTGCATGGAGTGATGCAAGGCTACAACTACCTTTTGTGAATGTCAGTATACATAAAAACAGCCTCATTTCCCTAATTGATTGCTCTTATATAGTGGAGTTTCTCTCTGATAAACAAAAGTTAGAGGAACTGTTCTAAACTAGAACTAAATCAGTTAGTTCTGTTGACTTGGAACAAATGGGTTTTCATGGTCACAGGATTCTAATAGGTGAGAGTGTGGATGCTCAGCACAAACTTCAACAAAGGACAAACAAATCAAGCACAGGCCCTGTGAGAGTGGGTGAAGAGAGATTTTGTAAACAAAGTAGATAGCACCGGCTTTTCCACAGTTGGCGGCCCTTGTGTAATTCATAGCAATATATATTGGGTTCATCAACACTTAAACCCCAGTCCTACCTCTGCTAGACCCAAGATAAATTATTTTTGACTAGAGATTATAATGAACCCTAGGATTTTTCTGAGGAATGAACAAACAATACAGAACTTTGCAAACAAATATTGAACAACACACATAAATGAAATGCAAAGTGATTTTCCCGTGTTGAAAAGTAGTTTCTTTAGCAGTTCAAGGAGAAATGTGATTCCATACCTCAAGTAACTAGCTAGCTTTTTTATCTAGCTGGTCTAATGGTAAACTTTGCTATTGTCGCCATCTCAGATAATAATTTTTTTTAAAGTATCAAAATATCTTTCTGAAAGTTTAAATAATCAATACTTAGGGCTTTATTTCTATAGTATCCTGAAGCAAAACAGCCATAATTAGATTCCCAGTGATTCATGTCTTCAAACTGACAGTTGCATAATCATATATTTCTTTTTTTTTTTTTGCATCTTGTTATCAGCCTATTACCATAACTAACCTTAGTTGAGTGTTTATTATCTGCTAGGTATTTTACTTATGTTATCCTTAATAATCACAGCAATGTAAATATTATCTCCATCTTACAGAAGGGGAAACAAAGATGCAGTAAAGTTAAATAATCTGACCAAGGACACAAAGCTGTTGTGTGGTAAATCTAGAATTTGATTCCCATTCTTGACCAAAATGCCTGTGCTTTTCCTAGCATGCAATACTGTCCCCCAATAAAATATAAGTAAAATGTTTATAGTGTGCCTGGCACATAGTAGGAGCTCAACAAAAATAATTTTATTGTCTCTTAAAACTATCAAATAAATATTCAGCTTATATCCTTAACAGAAATAGGATGAAAGCAATCTAGAAACTCTTTAAAGAGTACTCTTTAATTCCAAATCATTCATGCAAATGAATCTCATCTGTAGGAGACAAAGTCAAACCCTTGCATTTAGGTAGCCAATTGAAATGTAAGGACTTTAAAAAATTTATCGTCTTTATTCTTCATTTTTATTAACCTTTAAAAAGTAATTTCATTTTAATCAATAAATTATCAACCAAGAGAGATAGTTACTCCTTTAATCAATATAAAATTTAAGAAGCACAGCATTTTAAGCTGAAAGGGCTATTAGAGTTCATCTAGTTCACTTTTGTCTCTGCCAACTTGGCCTCCACCTCCTACCTCTATACTATCATTTGACTAGTGACTAACTAATACAAGGACACAAAGCTGGTAGAGGCAAAGAAGAGAATAAAATCTCCTGAGTTCCAGTTCAGTGTTCCTTCCATTATTCCACCCAGGCCTACTCAATGCAAGTACTCTCTAGGCAGGGCTAGACACACTATTTTAAGGGGGGGGGGAACCCTCTAACTACTTAAATAGATTCATCTCTACAGTGACTCCTAAATGGCTAATCCTATCAGCTAACCTTTACTGAGGATGATGTGTTAAACTCTTTACAGGAATTATTTCATTTCATCCTCAAGGCAAACCTATGGGAGAAGTTCTTAGTTTGTCGCCCACTTGATTGATGAAGGAACCCAGACTCAAAGACTTCAAATAAGTGGCCCAAGGTCACAGGACTAGTAAGCAATGGAGCCAGAATTTACCCAAGGCCTGACTTGAGGCCCAGCTCTCAACAATGATACACTGCTATTATGTCTCTTCCTTTTTCTCCTAAAACTTGTTCTTTGTCCTTTGGGGTTTAGGATCACTATATATATAACATGTATACCTAATCACATTTAGAGGTAAGGTTTCTGGAAGGGTAAGTGCAGAGGGAAAAATTTTAACCCACATCATCCCCACAAATGTAAAACCCACCTGGACTACTTTCTCCAAAATGTAGGCCTTTGCTATCCTCATGCATAAATCTCTTCTTTTTTCATTAACAATCACCTCTTTTGTCACTCAATAATCCTAAATCAGATTTTTCAAAGGCAAAAGAAAGCACTGATAGCAACAATCACTTGGGACCTGAGACCCCTGGCATAAAAGAGCCCAAAAGGGCAAAGCAAAGTTTCCACCAAAACAGCAATGAGGTTAACGGGGCACAGTAACACAATCTTGTACCTGATACTAGGAAACATGGAGAGAAAAACAGAGCTGAGGGGAAAATATGCTACAGGCCTGAGGTTGTTAAACAGGAAAAGAGTGAGGAAGGGATTTCCTGGCAGTCTTCTCCCCAGTCATTTCAAAGCCAATGCCCACCACCAATTAATTCAATTCAAGGCACCCTTGTGACACACCAGGAAAAGGCGAAGCAAAGAGCTCCAACAGTCCTTCTCGAATTGCTAGCCTCCGCACTCCGTTTGTCTTACCCTTTTTCACCAGAGAGGCAAATTCTAAAGGAATTTTCCGCCCAACCCCCCATGCAAAGTGAACCTTGGGGAGGAGAGGACCCTGCTTCACTTGATGGGGAAAAGAGACTCGTTTCCTTTCGAAGCAAGGGGATAGGAGGAGGAGAGCACTTAAGAAAATAAAAGAAACTGGCCTTGGCAGGGGCTTGACGGGGCGCAATTTAGAAGCTGCACTCACCCGGGTGAGACATGGGGATGACCTCATTGCGGGTCCCCGGGAAGTTAAAGATGACGGCTCCAGACGCCCCTCTCTCGTAGGCCAGATGGATCTTGTCTGCGAAGGTGCAGCCCCCTCCGCGCTGGATGAGGGCCAACCAAGAGACTTGCACGGTGTTTCCCCAGTCCCCCGAGACCGTGGGCACCGTGAAATTCGTGTGAGGGTTACAGGCATTGAGCGCCCCCGGCCCGTCGGGCGGTACCAGGACCCCAGCCACAGGCTCAAGCGGGGAATCCTGGCCGTACACGCCCTCCTCGCTCAGCTCCCACACTGTGCGGTTCACTCCCGTGTGCGGAACACGCCAGGACACATTTAGGTACGCGGTCCACACGGCTTCGGCTCCCCGGGAGCCGGGGGCATGCGGACTCAGAGCCAGCAGGAAGCTCCACGCCAACAATCGGGGAAAGGCGCAGCCACCGCAGCAGAAGACCCGGGCCCCAAGCGGTGGCCCCATGGCGCGCGCACTCTGCGGTACCCTAGGGCCCGTGGCACGCACCCTCCTGGCTTGTGGCAGGACCCTGGCCTTGACCAGGTGCGCGCCAGGTGGGGAGAGGGCGGGGAGAAACCCGCGCGCGGCGAGCTAGGTCCGAGCCCACAGGCACGTAGCCTCGGTGGAGATGTTGCTGCAGATGCAGCTCTTCACTGCTCTAGCTCTCTTCGCTGCTGCTGCGGCCGCGTCGGGCTCTGGGGCTTTAGCATGAAGCTCCGCCCAAACGACTGGGGGTAGAGGTGGCTGGGAGAGAGGAAAGGACACTGCAGGATCCGCCTTTTAAAAGGGTAACAGGATAACCAGGCATTAGAGTAGGATCTGAGGCTGTGTGGCCAGGTGTGTCACGTGGTTTTAGGAAAAATGGACAGGTGAGGAACTATAGAATCCGAACGTAGAAAAACTCTCTGGTTGTATTCGAGCCCGTTTTGAATTTCAAGAATACATTTTTCATTCTGACATTTGCCTAAAAGGCATTTCAGGCTTAAGATGCCAAAATGTGAAAATACTTATAAAGAGCACAGATTCGAAGGGTCTGAGTTGTAGTCAAGAGAATTTGCGTAAGTGGACGGTGCTGGGGGCAGGTCGTTTACTGGGTGGGGGTAGGAGCAAGAAAAGCATGTTACTTTTTTTTTTAACCTTTCTACTTTCCTGCTCCAAACAAGCGTCATACCCGTGTATTTCCTTCTTACTCTTACTCCATGCTAAATAAACTGCAACAGAGGGTCCTAAAAATAATCTTAATCCTCAATAAAGAATTACCGTTTTCACACACCTCAAAACTAGGCCTCTTCATTTTCCCCAAAACAGGCTTATCCAAATGGATACCTCTGCGCCATTCATGACCTTAACTGCATAATCTTTCTCCATTTCCCACCATCTAAAAGGAGCCCGACCAACTTTGGCAATTCACTCATGGCACTATTGGATTACAATTTCTCCTTACTTTAAATATACAGTTTTTATACACCCTGTCAATTATTGCATTTAGTAGATGCTCAGTAAATATGCACTGGATTAAAGTGAACTGATACACCTGGTGTCTGACAGTTATGGATAACTTTTTTTTATCGTGACATTGGTTAACGAAATCCAGTAAGTTTCAGCTGTATACTTTAACAGGTCATTTTAACTATGTTGATTCTTCCAACCCAAGAACATGGAATATCTTTCCACTTCTTTGTATCTTCTTCGATTTCTTTTAATAGAGTCTTACAGTTTTCATTATATAGGTTATGAATAACTTTTGATCTTGGGGAAATTACTTCTCTGTACCTCAGTTTCCTCATCATCTGTGAAATGGGAATAATAGTACCTACCCCTTAGTGTTATTGAGATGATTAAATGACTTCATACATGTAATGCACTTAAAACAGTCCTAAGCAGAATGTAAAAATCATATCTGTTAAATACTTTTATTAAACAGGTTCAGGGATCCAATACTTTTTCAATAATCAGTTTGTTACTTTGAGGTATTAATCAGAGAAAATGACGTTCAGAATGTTCAGCTTAAGCCACTTTTTCAGTTCAAGGAAATATAATTTATTTTATCCAACTAAATATTTGTTAAAATACTGATCAATCACTCTCCTTAGACCCTGACCCAACATTTACTTAATATTATTCCTAAAGGTTAAGCATGGGACAATTCTGCACTTGATACTTTTACAACTTGAGAGAAACCTAGTAGAAAATTAACACCATAACCAAACAGCACCTAGAATCCACATAAATAGGCAATTCTGTGAAACATGAACCCTAGGTATTGAAAGGGACTTTAGAGACCAAGAGAGTATATGGGTCCAATAGCATGGTACTTCCAACGCCTGATGATGTTAATCTCTAAGATAAAATTTACCTAAGGGAAAGTGAAAGGGTAGGATCAGCCACCTCTATGAAATGGTACAATTCCAGAAATTCAATTTGTTAGTGAAAAGCTCTCAAAATTCTCTCACTATTACCTGCATGACAATCAACTATATCATACTTTGAGAAACAGTGTGTTCAAAAGAAAAAAAAAATTATAAGGCGCCTACAAAATGAAGTTCAGGGTGATATTTGTTAACATTCATTCTTAAACAAATATTTATTTCACATCTACTATATGCCAGCCATGGGCTAAGCATTGGGGTAAAAAATCAGATAAGACTCTGTTCTCAAAAAGCTCATAAATGAACTTTGATGAAACAAACAAACAAATTGATGATTGCAGGAGAGTGCTATATGTATATAGTGTAAGTGCTCTGATAGATGTATGGATAGGGCAGCAGTGGGTAATAGAGAAAAGGAACCTAATCCAGACTAGGAAGTAAGGAAAAGCTTCCTAGAGGAGGTTACACCTGTACTGAGCTTGAGAGAGCCTTTCTAGGCAGAGAAGAGTACAAGGAAAGACATTGAGGCATGAAACTGAAAATGTTGGGTAACAACAAGTACAGGCTCTGTGAAGTTCTATAAACATAAAATGATTAGATGGAGCCCAGAACACATGAGATAAACTTATAGAGATGCACAGGTGTTAAGTTTTTGAGAGTCCCTTGGGTAAAGCTGGGGAGTTTGGACTTCATCCAAAACCAAGAAGTAATATAATCAGGGTTTAAGCAGGGAGTGATATATAATCAGATTTGAATTTTAGAGATCATTATGTCTTTTTTGTGGATAATAGATTGGAAGGGGCAAGAATAGAAGCATGGAGCCCAGATAGAAGGTGGTTGACAGTGCTCCAGGTGGGAGATGAAAGTAGCCTGGACTAGACAGGTAGTGGAGACAGATTGGGAATGTATTTTGAAGGTAGAATCAACAGGTCTTATTTGAAGGATGAAAGAAAGAGGAGAGTTAGGGATTGCTCTGAGGTTTTTGGCTTGAAGACTGGGTGACAAGCAGGAGGAGGGTTTAAACTGTATAGAGCAGGTAGGAAGGAGAGATGAGTTCAGTTTAGATATGTTGATTTTGAGTACCTATGATGTAACTAGGTGGAACTCTCTGGTAGGCAGTTGGATTTTCTGAATCCTGGACACCTACTAAGTGCAAGACACTGGAGAGGCATGGGTATATAGAGACAGTTCTTGACTTTAATGAGTTCACAGTTTGCAGGAAAGTTAGAGAGGTAAACAAAATAAAGTAATAAATGCTATGACTGATAAAAGCATAGAATGCTATGGCAACATGGGTGTGACTCAGTCTTTCCGCCCCGCCCCCAACGGGTCCACAGGCTGAGTCTTTAAGAACAAATAGAGTTAAGCAAAAAGAATAAGAATATTCAGGCATAGTCAATAGTATATTACATTCTCTGATTAGAACAACAGGGAATATCCAGGGAACTAACATGCAGTAGTTAGGTACAGCTGGAATGTAAGTTGTAAGGTGGGAGCCAAGGGAAGTAATGCTGGTCAAGTAGGCTGTGCCAGAACATGGAGAGTTTAGAAGACTATGTTAAAGAGTGTGGACTCAATACACATGTGCACACATGTATATACACATGCACACACACTAAGTAAATATAGCAAAACAATAATTATTGAATCTAGATGGTGGGTATATAAGTAATTATATTATTTTTTAACTTTTCTCTATATTTTAAACTTTTTGTAATAAGTTTAAAATTGTGAATTTATATTAAAGTTTATGGAACAAATGAATATGATCAGACTTAGACCTAAATAGATCCTCTTGATTGTATGAAGGCAAGACAAAAAGCAAAAACTAGAGAGGAAGCTAATATCCCAGTACTATTCTGGAAGTCTAGCCCAATTGTGGAGATAGAGCTTATCAGACTATCATAGCTTGATGACATGACCATTAAAATCATCCTATGAACTCTCCCTTGCTACAAGTTCATCCTCACCAAGCAACCTTCTCATTATCATTTAGCTACTCATGTAAATATACCTACAGGGAGATAATGCACTGATCAGCAAACACTAGTATCTGGAACAGTTATACTTCTCATTATAAATTAATCCATTGGCATTCTGGCTTATATATTGGTCTCTTGTGAATCCGATTACGTGTGAGTCAGTTCCCAGGAGCCCAGTCTCTGATTATACCACCAATCAAATTTCAAAGTTTGCAAAGCTAAGAATCAGTATGTAGATCACAACTGTATCAAAGTCCTTCCACTCTATGGAAATTTGTCTAAGTAACTCTCTAGCTTTCCCTAACCATATCCTCTGTCTCGCTGTGATTTCTTTTCAAACTGCAACAGAACCTGGCTATCAGGAATGAGGTCTCTTGATGGGGAGCATCGTCAGAGAGCTTGTAAGAAACAAAGGATATCGGGTCCTACCCCAGACCTGCTGAATCAGAATCTGCATTTTAACAAGATTACCAGGTAATTTGTACTCACATGTAAGTTTGAGAAGCTCTGAGGTAGACTAGAGTGTTCCTGACAGGTAGGGTAGCCAGCACCAAACCTCTGCTTGGACATTCCCATGTTAGAGCTTACTACCTCATAAAGTATCACATCCTGAGTAGTACTGCACATTTCTTGTTGGAAAGTTCATGTAAGTATGGTTTGACTTTGCTTCAGTCCTTCCTCTTCCTCCAACCTAACTCTTCCAACCCCAGGTCCCCAGAGTTTCCATGCTACTCCCTGGCTGTATTGACAGCATGCCAGGGCCTTTGCTTTGAGCAGTTTCCCTGTATCAGACCTCACCTTTTCCTGACCCTCAAACCAGATTTATTAGTCCTAGATGTATTCCCTCAGGGGCCTTCTGTCCATAAGACTAATAACAGCTACTGTTCATTGAGCATTTACTATGTGCTTTACATGCATTATCTCATTAATCTCACAACCATCTGTAATTATCCCAATTTTCAGAAGAGGAAACTGGCTCAGAGAGAATTAGTAACTTGCCTAAGATCATATAGATAGTTCCTGAATCAGGATTCCAATGTAGTTCAGACTATAAGTATTCATAGCTGATAATGACTCAATATCTTCTCTCTGGAGAGTGACATTTGCATTTTAACAT